TCCGTTGGTTTAATACTACGTGATCGATTTCCACAGTTTTGATTATTATATATTTTTGGAAAAAAAAATAAAACTTATACCGTTAAGTCCCATATTTCCCACACATCATTTTAACATAATTTGTTTCTCAAGAAAATAAATTACTTTATCAGAATAATTTTATTTAGGTAGTAGAGAGGACCAAAGTTCACTTTACTCCTTTTATTTATCCTCTCTATTAATTCACTCATTAAAGCTTAACTTTTAATATATTTTTTTCCAAAAAAATAGTAACATATTACTTTATTATATTTTTTTAAAACATAAATTTATTATTATATTTTTTTCTTTGTACTAGAAAGTTAAAATTTTTAGATCGGTTTTCAGGGCGTTACAACCTCGATCAGGTATCAAACTCTGTTTGCACCTGTCAAATCATGGCACGTTACACCCTCACTCAATCTCTTCCAAGGACGTGAATTCAGCCTTCTCCCCGTGGCATCACAACACTCAACTCTTGGACTCGTGTGTCAACATATGGTCGTGAATCATCCACGTGGCAAACAAGGATCTGAAATATGACTTCACGACACTACGTTCAACCTCACGCTAAGATGAAGAATGTTGCGTGATCTCTAATCTTGTACCTCACTCTTTTTTGGATCTCTCGTATTTCACACTGTTTTTTCGCGATCCACCATAGCTCCTCTGTGGGATATTTATACATAAATCCGCCTCTGAAGTTTGTAGCCCTAGTATACAGCACAAAAGAGTCTTGATGCTTCCTCCCACTGGGAGTATCCCAGATCTGTAAAATACAAAAGTTGAGATAGACTTTTTATTCTCTAAATAATAATTAATAATGTCTAGTGAGAGAATAATGTCCAGTGATAGGAATATCACTTTTTGTGGCCTAAATACGAGTTCACAAAGTCAACCGCCACGCCCACTACCAACGGAGCTCCGCTCTTCGGTGTCGACCACTACTAACCAGTGATCCACCACCACACTCCAGTACTCCACCATCATTTTGCCACTATTCACATCCTATAATACTATCACAAATTCACAATGTCAAGATTCACATTGCCATGGGTCATAATTAAAACAATGACACTTTTATTTTGGTATTTTTTGATGATATTTTCATCATGGTTCATTTCCTCTCTTAAAAAATAGGAATAGAAATGAATAAAGTTATGCATGGACCTACATTGAGTCCATGTGTAAAAAATGGAGGTGCCCTTAGCCAGTTGTTGTCACTAAACCGCGTTTGGGGATAACTATTAAAACTATTACTTATTCTATTACAAATAAACAAGGTAGTGACATCCCATCTAGCCCCCAAATTTTAGTCTCACAGTTCACATTTTCATGGGAGTTCACCGTTCTCCTCTCCACACCACAAATCTTGTTCCTTTTAAATTTCAACACTATTAAAAGAAATAAAGATGTGCACTCCACTTAACTAAACTGCCCTTCTCCTTGCCCATTAAAGTTCTTTTCTTGTCAATATAATAAATATGACCCTCCTCGTCCATAAATAAGTTTTACATCTCTTTTTAGTCTGTCCCAATTTAAAATTTCATTTTGTTAGAAGAATAACTGAGCGATTCACATTATTCATCTATGTTCTGCATAAAAATCAAATGCACAATTTTGGCATTCTTAATAACCATGTTGATTCCAATGTGAAATCTGATTTGGGATTGATTAAGTTTTTTTTCTCTTTTAAAAGGGAAATAAAGAAACCCTCATTAAGTCTTAAACCCACCTTATAAGTAGTAAGAATACCCTAACAAGTCATACCTAGCCACCTAATAATTAAATCTCTCTTTTACCTTGTTTGTGTTCTTCCAATCACATCACACACACACACACACACCAAAATAAAGTAAAAGGAAAAGAAATGGAAGACCAATGCATACCTTTTGCCTTGCCTTTCTTCTTCCAAGAAGAGGTAATTTCAACTCATTTCTTTTTCATTTGTGTTGTTTTTTTTCTTTCTTCTGGAAATGTTTCATCAAAGAGTAATCATGATGATGTGTTGGCAGGGAATTGAGGAGCTTAAGCAGTCTCTGTTCTACACAACAATGGAGCTGGAGAACACCATTGTTTGTGCCCATGATGAGATTTCCAAGAAGGATCAAGAAATCTTGCACCTCAAGAATCTCCTCGCAGAAATTGTCAAGGAAAGAGATGAATTTGTAGAGAAATGGAGGATTTTGGGGTTCGAGAAAGCCCTTCTCCTTCAACAGGTGAACAGGCATTTTCACAAACACCTGGTGGGCGTTGCAGATGCCGACAGCAACAGTGAAGATCAGAGAACACTTTCTTCCTCCGATTCCGACGGCGTGGTTTTCCAGCCCCTGCCGGCGTCCGTCGCTGCGGATGAGGTGTTGCCCAAAATGCCCCTGCCGGAAAATGGGAAATTCTTGAAAGCGGTGGTGGAAGCTGGGCCGCTACTCCAAACACTTCTTCTGGCCGGACCACTGCCTGATTGGCAACGCCCGCCGCCTCAGCTCGACATCCCGCCGGTGACAATGTCCCCTGCCGTCTCCACGCCGCCGCATCGGATCCACCAGGAATCCGTTCTCTGCGCCGGCGAAGCCAAGAAGAGGGCGGCAAATGGTGCTCGTGACACCTCTTCATCCCCCTCAAAGTACCAAAGAGTATTTCCATCCACCGCCATTATCTCTACTAGTTAGTGCTTGGCCATGAACTTATTATCTCTAATTACATTCTCTAATTTAGGTGTAATTATTCTTATTTCCTATTATTATAAATTTTTGAAGGTATTATTATTAATTCTATTATTATTTTTATTATTATTTTTATAATTATTATCATGACTCCTTTGTCCATTAATAATGTTTCACATTTCTTATTTGTCTCTCTAAAAAATCACTTTCCACTTAAAAAAATTTGTGACTTTTATTGTTTTTTTATTACAACATTTTCAAAAGAATTCTCCTTGGATAGTAGTAAAAAAATATGAAAATATCATAATATGAGTCCTAAATCTTTTAATAACAAAATAAGAATAGCAGTGCGGTGTAAGAGTACGTGTTAAAAAAAGTAATGAAAGTGTAATATATCGGTGTGAGTACTCAATCGTCGGTGATCCGCAGTGACACTCTGGTGGCCGGCGACGACGATGACATTGTGGCGGTGATAGTGTGGCATTTACAATATGACAATATGGTGAATGTGACAATGTAACAGTGACAGTGTGAACTCTTATTTTAGTCTTACAAAACTTATTACTCCTATTTTGATACTTTCATTGTTTTTTTACTCTTATATAGAGATTTCTTCCCACTTTCAATTGTGAAATATTATTGTGGGGCGAAGAGATATTATTACTTGAATGTAACATAATTAGAGTATACTATGTACGGAGTATATGTTAATTTGAACTAGAACAAAGTTTCTAAATTTGTAATTAGTGGCGTGTATTAGATCGTGCTATTAGGTTGTGCTAGAAGTGCACTAAAGATTGTATCACACTTTGTACACAAGCATCTAATAGATATACACAGATGAAAAATATTTGGATACAAAGACACTTATTCTTTGTGTCTGTTTCTATTATACTCCGTAATTTTTTAAAAAAAGTGGGATACAATATTAAGAGGGTATATCCAATTAAAATTTTGAAAGATTTTGATAGATTTTTAAAAGATCATGGATTATATGAAATATTTAGATCATTTTAATTCTAAATAGAGTTAGATAGATTTTAATATATTTTATAAGCAGGATTTTAAAATGATCCTATCAAATTGTTTAGAATACATAGATTATGTCAAATTCATAAGCTTTTCTCAAATCTACAGAATCTAGATTTTTTTTCATAAGTTTATAAAATATAAATTGTTCTAGCATCAATAATTATTTATACATATTTACGATAACATATACGAAAAAAAGTAGAATAAAAAACTTGAAATCTAGAGAAAAAAAGTAATTAGAATACACGGAATAAAAAAACTAGAATAAAAAAGGTTAAATATGTTTTTAATCCATGTAAAATATTTGATTTTTGGTTTATTGTCCCAGTAAATTTTTTTTGTTAAGTCATTTGTACAAAAACTTTTAATTTGAAAATCATCCTTAAACATAATATACATTTCTAATTTGTTGAGATAGCATGTCACATTCATTTCGTACTCAACATCTAAATCTTGCATTTCTAAATACCTCAGAAACTATTCTCATGTCATATGTCGTCTTCTTCATTGAATTATATCCCTAATTTCCAAATTTTATTATATTGTATTCTTAAAAAAATTGGAACTTGGAGATGTAATATGAATAAGGATTTAATTTCGGGCATGAGAATTGTATCGGGGGTAGTACAAATACAAGACTAAAATGTTTACTACGAAATAAATGTACTATATCAACAAATTAGGAGTGAAAGCGTTAATGTTTCACATTAGGACACTTTATTTTCCTATTGTAAGAATACATATCCTATATCCTATATATATATGTAAAAGAGGGTTTCAAAGTTGTGGTGACGACACGTGTCATGCCACACGTGCATACTAATGACACGTGTCCCGCCACGCGTATATCACATGACACATGTACGTCCATCCATGCATGTGAGTTAATTTTGTATTAAATAATTCGTATTTTTATTTTTTATAAACTTTTCACTTTCCAACAATAAAAAACTATTATTTTTATTAACTTTTTATAAACTCTTCACTTTCTGACTATGTTAAAACCAATTTATTGTTTTGACGTATCTTAAAAATATATGCACGATTATTTTATAATTTTAGAAAACTTATGTATATAATTTATTGATTAAAAAGATGTTGCTTATAATTTTTAAAATTATCCATCATATCAAAAAAAA